AAAAATGATTCTGAACAGACAACAAATACGCTTTTAGTTATATTAAAAAAAAAAAACTATTGTATGTTTTAGCATGTACACAACATTTTTATTTAGTATTTTTCATATTGATAAAGCATAATCATACACACAAACACACATGCACATACACACACACACACACACACACACACACACACACACACACACACACACACACACACACACACACACACACACACACACACATACACACACACACGCACGTATATGTGTGTGTGTATATATATATATATATATATATATATATATATATATATATATATATATATATATATATTCACACACACACATATATAGGACAGATAACGTACAATGCACAAACGAGATTTATTGAAATAGACAACAGTTTCGAAAGCCTCCTCGTCTGATCTTCAGGTCTGAAGAGGAAAAGAAAAGGAAGGAGTATAAGAGTGAGAGAGAGGAGAAGCAATGCAGTTTTCACAGGTCAGATGAAGACATGTGAAAGGAAGTGAACGAGAAGTCTACTTAGGTCGAAGGATCAGGCGGTCTTTGCGAAGGGTGGCCGGCATAAAGAAAGTAGGCAGAGAATGTGAGAAGCGTGGACACTGTCGACATGAGAAAAAAAATCAGGTTAAAATTAAGCTGCTGCTTAATCAAGGAGAATTCCACCAGTCTGCGGGCAAGTGAGGAGTTGGTTTAGGAGAGGAGTCCTGGTGGAAGGAACGCCGCGCCCTCTTGGACACTAGTTTATCGCTCTGTTGACTACTTCTCCTTCTCTCTCTATACAGGAAACCTATCCACAGTGATATGTACAGTCAGAAAAATAAGTATCGTTACCCTTTGCACAAAACTAATATGAAAAATCGACGAAGTGGTTCGGAATAGCGAGGCAAGTAATTAGAACCATAATCAAAGTGAAGTGTTCAGCTCCACATTGGCCACAAGTAAGGGTAACGATAGTCTTTTTTCTGATTGTACGTACACTTCATGTCGTACTATCCACTCTATGTGAAGAGAGATATTGCCGCCTCCCTGTTCCTCCTCGTAACGTTCTCGACTTCGCGTTATCGAGGGCGGAGCGTGCCTTCTACCACGACTCCTCCTAAAGAGACTCCTCGCTTGTTCTCAGCCTGCCTTACACTGAGATCTACCCTCTCCGTCGCCTCCTTGACCCTCTCAATTGCAGGCTTATCTTTCGCCAGGTAAGCACACTCCGCCGCAACCTGGTCCACGTTAGTCCCCCCTCTACCTCGAAGATCGGTACCTACGCTATTCCTTGTAACACCCCCCCACCCCCTACCGTGATAGGTAGGACTTAGGTGAGGCAGACGAAAGTCTCACTAAGCATCTATCTCAATGTAAATATGTATTATCAAGAGGACACAAAAACAACGTTTTTTTCAGCGCATCTGCATATTTTTTCCTGTCGACAGTGTCCTCGCTTCCTACATCCTCCACCTATTTCCTTGTGCCGGCCAACCTCCGCATATACAGATCCTTCGACCTAACCTGACCTCTCTTCCCTTCCGTTGACCACAAACAAGAAAGAATACTTTATGAAAAGAGAAATGAGTGAAAATCAAGGTGAAGATCATGTCTGTACATGATACAAATATCATGTCATTTTTCTGGACCTAACTGAAGTTGGCAGAAATGGTTAACAAAAAAAAATATTAGAGTGAGAAAACAAACTATCTGAAATAGCATTCTGAAAAAAATACCTTTAGAGAGTATGGTATCACCTTTCATGATTTATACATAAAGTACAATTTAGTTTTCATACAGGTGAGGTACTGCACATTTAAATAAAGAGAAAACAAATAATAGTTAACCCATTCGCCCTGGATTTATGTTCTGTCCCCTATAGTTTTTGGTGAATTTTGTTACACACAGATGGCTCCACATGTGCTCATTTGGCAAGGAGGCCCTAGTTACCGACCTTGATTTTCCCATTCATTGAATTGGCGGGATAATTAATACCATTGCTATCGATACTGTTATTATTGTTATTGATGTTATGATTATTAAATTGTCATTAGAATATTTTAGACAATGAAATGATACAAAAAAAAAATTCTTAAAGTGAAGGAAAAAGGTAAACAGGTGAAATAGGTAGTTCTTGATAACTGGCTATTTGGTGATTAAGAACTTGTGGAGCCATCTATGTGTAAATTCAATAAATAAACATGTATCTGAGTGGGCATGGCATCTATTCTTGCCACGTGGGGCGAATGGGTTAATGAAAGTAAAAACTGAATGGTTTATGAGGAGAGAAATGTCCAAAACATTATCAGCTGTATTACTGGTGGTTAAAGTTTTATTTCAATTCACGAGTTTCAGCACTATTTAATCCATTCACGCCAGGTAAAAATAAACAAAAAACGGAGAAAATGCTGTGCTAATTTTTTTATATTTTTTGTGAAATGTCTCTACACTAGATGGCTCTACTTTACCTGATTTCACTTTACTTGAATTGGCGGGAAAATGTATTTTTACTAGTGCTATGAATATCGATGGTTATTTTTATTATAAACATTATAATTACTATAATGATATAAACATTAGTAACAGCAAAATAAGATAATGTAAAATATTTCCGTAAATTAAAGAAAAGGGTAAACGGGCAAGACAGGCAGTACAAGTACAAGTGTTGCCATCTATGTCTTAAAACAATTAAACAAGTAAACTCACATTGGGCCTGTCACGTATACGTGACACCCAGCATGAATGGGTTAAAAGAGTGTTATACAGTAATATGCTATGAGCCTAAAAAACACTTTTATTCCGGATTTACTTAGGAAACATGACTCACTTCATGATGATCCCTGACTCAGGTCACATATGAACCATAAGCACTATATGCAGAGAATTTTGTTTTTAAATATCTAAAAATCAATATTAACTTTTCAAGGATAAAAACAAACGACATTTCCTGCTTGTTACATTGATTTATTTATAATAATTTAGTCATAAAATAAATCAATTATGTAATTTACAGTTACATTCACTACATCACACTAACGCCAATTACCGTGTTCTGTCACAAATTTCTCCCTAACAGTACAGATACTGTACAAGCCTTCCTTTACTTCCCTTGTTTCAATTTTCTTCTTCGACTTCTTATTCCCTCTTTCCTATCTAATTACCTTTTCCAAATAGATTATTACAACTTCTAGTACACTCCTATTTCCCCCAAAAAATTCAATACTATTTCCAACTAAATGCTACATTTAACAATACTACATTAACAGTACTGCTTATAAGGAAAAAATATCCACTGAGAAACACAACAGGACACCTATAGATCCTTTCGCATAATGGCACAAAACGAAACTCATCAGGTTATGACTAAAAAGATTACAGACTGCTTACACCTTAAAATGGGATTTGTCTCAGACTCACACAGAAACAACTATAATTACATAACACAGAAGACAAATTATATAACCAAGAGCTAAGAAAACTGATGCTATTAACATTTCAATACTTTTATATCAAAATCATGTTAATATTTCTCATTTCATTTTGTTACCAATAAAAAAAATATAGTTAATATGAAAATATATTTTTTTCTTATTCATCTCACAATTTCAATCCTTCTATGGACAGCTCAAGATCCAGGGAAAATAAACTTAATAATGAAATATAATATGTATACACCAGAAAAAAAATATATAGCACAGTGACTATAAATGCTGATGATTATCATTTGGCAGGATTAGGGGAGACATTACGTAAGTACATTCTTATTAAACGGTTCTGTAAAAGTCCCATTTCTAAGGGAATATTGCAATATATATGTTTATCCTGGCCTATTTCTAAATGATAATTCAAGGTCAATTCATCCCAAACATATCAAGGTATATATACCAAGGCAAAGATACATTTACAACACATTTTCACCAGAAAAGATATCAAACAAAAATGGATATCTTCACAAGAGATGTGTTTAACAAGTTTCAAATACAGAAATACATGATATACATATTCAAAATTGGTTAAATACATCCCTTGTATTGTGAAGATATTCATTCTCACTCACACCTTTTCTACATTTGTCAACATGAATATGGTTCATATTTTCACCAGACAGACAAACCACACAACCTATATGATCTCACTTCATTATGCTACAATGTATTAATTATCACTTAATACAAGGATATAAAAAACCTAATGAGCATTTTTTTTTTATATATCACAATCTCAGCTCTATTCTAATTCCATTTAGTACATTTGTGATATGAATGATTATTTGTTGTTTTTTTTAGTTCCATTCTTATCCTTATTTATTATATATCTATAAAGATTATGGAAAAAAAATTATAGTTGGATAAGGAATTATTAACATATCTTTCTTTCCCTAAGTGATGTTAAGTGGCAACCCTAGAATCAGAATTTGGATGAATACCAGTAAATTAAAATAATATGACAAAGAACAAATATAATATTGATAATAACAATATAGTTAATAACACTTACTGATAATATTGATAAAAATGGTTACCATACACACAAATTTATACATATATATATATATATATATATATATATATATATATATATATATATATATATATATATATATATATATATATATATATATATTAAAGGAAAAAATCTTACACCAATCCCTAAACCAAAGATAATAACATTAAAATCTTCCTGAGGTAACATACTTGATACTGTTAGTTATACAAAAAATTCTGGTATTGTCTTTCCAACTTGGGATTACTCATTAATTATTTTTTCTTCCAGTGTGACCATTCAACTTTCTTGAGCAAATGGTTAAAACAACTACAAAAAGGTAATGAAAGCAAAATATAAATTAAAAAAAATGGTCTTTCATGGCACATTGTTGTTTATGGCACACCAAAATTATAGGTAGTCTTGTAAATCTTTTCTGAGGTTTAAGCCCGTAAGATTTTATGGCAACAAATAATATGAAAAATTATTCAGTTTCATTATTAGGCAAAGTATGTACACTTGTATATATATGTGTGTGTGTGTGTGTGTGTGTGTGTGTGTGTGTGTGTGTGTGTGTGTGTGTGTGTGTGTGTGTGTGTGTGTGTGTGTGTGTGTGTGTGTGTGTGTGTGTGTGTGTGTGGATCTGGCTGTCTATGTGCATACATCTGGCTGTATGCACATCTGACTGTGTGTGTATATGATTGTATGCGCATCTGACTGTATGCACATCAGACTGAATGCGCATCTGACTGTATGCGCATCCAACTGTATGCATATTTGACTGTGTGCGCATATGTCTATGTGTCTGTGTTTGTGTGGCTGCATCTGGGTCTCTGAAACCATATGTGTCTGTACATTGTTTCTGAGTATTATATATGGTTATCACACGAGGGTGTTATGCAGGTGTAATGTGTACATCTATGTGACAGAGTGAGAGAAATATCATTGCATCCAAATACATCTATTTCAACCTTTACACCATATTGTGATTTCTGCGTTTTGTGTCACTGGGGTACATTTTCACACAATTAAACAACTACTATTACCACAGAGTACAGATTTATAGTCCCTTGTTGTAGTAAGCCACTTCTGGTGCATCAGGCAGTGCTCGAATCTTTTCCTGTCAAAACAAAAACCCAATGATTAGTCTCAAATATACTTCAAGTGTGACTTACTTACTTACTTATTTACTTACTTACCTACTTACTTACTTACTAAATTACTTATT